CATTTTTCCGTGTTCTGACACAATACTAATGAGATCAATATTACTGTCTGTTAGATCTCATTAATGTATAATATATATATATGTAACGGATGAGACATGGCGTCAGTCAGAACACCAGTTTATACTGACCCTTTGTCTTCCTCATCTTCCTTCCCCACATTCACCAGTGAAGTGTCACACATTTCCCCCTCCCCCGAGAGAGCGTCAACTTATTGGAACAATAGTAGCGACGCATATTGTTGACGTGCACAATGTCAGTAGTTCTGCTTAACGGAGCTACGCATCGGTCGATCTCATAGTTCACAGGAGAGACTCTGCGAAGAATTGTGTAAGGTCCTTCCATGACTGAACTGAGCTTTCCTTCGTTCGGGTGCCAAGGTGTTTCGTAGAGGACCAATTCACCAGGTTGGAGATCTTGTGGTAGGAATTTTTTGTCGTAGATTATGTTGTTCTTCTCACGATAGGCAAGCGTGTTCTTGATTGCACTTTTCCTTGCTTCTTGCACACTCTCCCTTGGTGCGTCTAAAATTGTGTCGTATGAAGGAATTCCATACATGAGGTACGATGGTGGATATCGTGTTACTTCATGTGGGGTTCTGTTGTATTCATCGACAACATCCGAAAGATGTTTGACCCAAGACTTCTGTGGCTGCTCATTAATTATGCACTTTAGCCGGGTTACCATAGTCTGATTTGTACGTTCGTTTATGCCATTACATTGAGGGCGTTGGGAGGATGTGAACAATTGGTGGACACCATGACGTTTTAGAAACTGCTTGAATTTTCCAGCTGTGAAAGCTGATCCACGATCAGATAGGAACTTCTTGGGTTTTCCTGCTGCAAAGATGGCGGTGATGCACGAAATGTATGCGTCACAAGTTTCGTTCTTGTGGGTAAACGCCCAGACATACCGCGTAGCGTGGTCGATCGCCAAGTGAATAAACTTCTTTGTCGAGCCATATCCTGAAAAGCCACCTATAGTGTCCATTGCTGAAAGATCAAAGGGTTGTTCTGCAGGTGGTAGTGACTCGAGAGATCCGAATCTCTTGGTTTTCGGCTTCTTGCAACGCTGACATATGTCACAGTGGCGGACGTAGGATGAAACGTCTGCGATGATTTCCGGCCAATAGTAGGATGATGACAACAAGCCCAGAGTTTTCTTTACTCCGACGTGTCCGAACTGACAGTGTGCTTTCTGCAGAAGGCCCAGTCGAAGCTTCAGAGAAACGTACACTTTGCAAATTCCTTTACGTGTCACGATAGTGACCCCGTTTTCCGTTGTGTACTTGCAGCGAGGGCGGTCATCCTGGTAAGTATGAAGTTCTGGTAATGAAAGGAGTTGAACCATAGGGCGTCGCGAAAATGCGTCCGCCTCGATGTTTTCGCTGCCTTTTTGATGTTGAATGTTAATGTCATACATCGACAGCTTCAAAGACCATCGAAAGAGCCGGCCATGTGGGTTTTTTATGTTTCTGAGCCATTGTAAAGCAGCATGATCGGTGACAACAGTGAATGGTCGTCCATGTAGATAGCAGTGCCACTTGTCAACAGCGTCAATTATAGCGAGGCATTCGAGCTCTGTAATGGCATAATTTAATTCGTGCGTGAGTAGCTTACGCGAGTGATAGGCAACGGGTGTTCTTTACCATCATGATCTCTTTGCTTCAGAACTGCACCTACGCCTACGTTAGATGCATCGCAATAAAGAATGCATGGTTTCTCGCAAGAAAAAATTCGTAAAATGGGTTCTTTGTTCATACATTATTACATGTTCTCAAAAGCTTGTTCACATGAGGAATCCCATTCCCATGGTGTGTCCTTCTTCAACAGCTTCGTAATTGGGAAAACTATGTCACTGAAGTGCGGTATAAACTGGCGGTAAACGTTGGTGGTGCCTAAAAAATGCTGAAGCTCTTTCGGGGATTTCGGTCTTGGGAATCGCAATACAGCTTCTATGTTTCTTCGTATAGGCGACACTGTACCGTGCGACACTCTGTGACCCAGATATTCAATAGAATCTTGGGCAAAATGGCATTTCTTCAATTTAAGTTTTATATTCTCAATATTTAGAGCATGCAATAGAGCTTGGAGGTGCTGTAAATGGTCAGTAAATGTGTCGGAGAAGACAACGATATCATCAAAATAATTAATGACATTCTTCAAGTTATGTTTTCTGATAACTGATTTCACGGCTCTTTGAATGTAGCAGGAGCATTTCTCAAACCGAAAGGCATAACAAGCCACTCATAATGGCCATTCGGCATGACGAAAGCTGTTTTTGGGATGTCCTCTGGGTTCATTTTGACATGCCAATAGCCTGATGTGATATCTAATGTCGAAAAATATTTCGATTTACCCAGGTAGTCTAGAACATCGTCTATACGCGGAATAGGTTGGTAGTCAGGCACAGTGACAGAGTTAAGCTTTCGATAATCAATTCATAAACGAGTGCGTCCTTCACCTTTTTTTTTCTGCAAGAATGACTGGAGCCGCGTATGGGGAAAAAGATGGACGCACTACACCTTGCTTGAGAAGTAATTCCACTTGCCTGATAATTTCCTCTTTGTTTGCCAAGGAGCATCGATACGGTGGTCTGTGGATAGGGACATTGTTGCTGAGGGCAATGCAGCGTCGTTAATCTGCGATACATCCGAAGTCCATCTGAGACTTTGAGAAAATGTATTCGTAATTATGAAGCACCTCTCTCAAAGCAGCTTGTTGCGATGATGGAAGGTGCGTGATGTCAACGGCTTGGAGAGGGGTTGTATCGGCGCTGAAGACACACTTTTGTGTTTGAAAGGAATTCTGCAAAGCTTTGTTGTCTTGAAGCAAAGTCATCGTGTTTAAATCCAGTGACAGGTTGAAAAAGGAGGCGTTGTCCAGGCCTAGCAAAAATTCAGTCTTCATGCCTGGTAGAGCGTGTGCTTGGACTGCCCGCTTTATCTTCCCTATTTCCAACTGTATGTGTACGCGGCCCAAAGTTTTTGTGGTTGAGGTGACTTGTTGGACACTGATGCATGAATCCTTGAGCAACTGCAGCTTGAGTTTTTTGAACACAACTTCATTGATACAGGTAATAGTCGCTCCTGTATCCAGAGTTACGTTCACCATGTGTCCGTTCACAAGTGCACCAAAACATATTAATGAGCCTTTGGGCCGCCCTCTTCGTTTCCCTGGTTGTCGGTTAGAGCAGACACCATTTGACGACTAGGGCACTCATTGTGCCAGTGAAACTGATTCGGCAAACCAGCAGATGCACAATGTCGGCACTCACTGTGAGGGGTGCGCATCAATCCTGCAGGGAGCCATGTTCGCGTAGAATGAGGCTCTCGACGCATGAGCTGCCGTTTTGACGAGTGTTGGGAAGCATCTCTGTGGACAGAGTCTTCCGCTTGAAGCGCAGCAGCAAGCCACTTGGCTGGGCTGGTGAGCGTCAATCCAGCGAGGCGCCTTTCGATATCTTCAGGTACACCATCGGTCAATCCTGATACTATGTGAACGTCTTTAAGTCTGCGAGGCGACCAAGGTGTGTCTTCTCTTCGTAGTAGTGCCTGATGCGCTGTTCTCTTTTGAGCCTGCAGTGTATGAATTGGTGGAAAGGGTCGTTAACAGGTGCAGAAAATTGTGATATCATGCTTGTTTTGATGCCTTCCCACGTATCTTCTGCGTCGAAAATTTCAGTGAGGTACCAGCGGAATGCCTCACCTTCCAGGTACTCGCTGATGCAGTCGATGCGATCTTGTTCGGACCAGCTGACATTGCTCGCCTTCGTTTCGAAGAGGTGCAACCACTTATCAACAGGGACGTCGTCTTCAGCTTCGGTGTATTTCGGCAGGCTGATCATCTTCTTTGGTGGGCTCATGATGTTGCTGCGGTAGATCCTGTCGACTTAGTGTAACGGATGAGACATGGCGTCAGTCAGAACACCACTTTATACTGACCCTTTGTCTTCCTCATCTTTCTTCCCCACATTCACCTGTGAAGCGTTACATATATATATATAAAAAAAGAGAAACATATCTTGCGATACATCCTGCACATTCCACGGAAAAGCGGGCAGCGCTGTGTGGGCTGGAAAATTTTGCAGGGTATTAACCCACACACACAAACAAACATCTTCGCACATTTTTGCCCTTGCACCGCTCATGCCTGTTCGCCGTTTTTGCATTTCACTTCACCTGCGAACTGTGGTGCACACGTTTCGCGACGCTGCCTGATGGATATTAAGATGCCACCCCTACACCGGCAAGAGTACAGCGCTGCTCTGAAGCAGAAAGCGATCCACTACGCAGTCGGAAAGCAGTGTTGCAACAAGAAGAGCTTAATTTGGGCGAGTTGGTTCATCGTGGTTGTATTCTAGAAACAGCGCGAACACTTTCTGTCTCTCCTTTTTGTCTCTTCCAACAGTTTTGCTGTTTCTAGAACACAACCACAATGTTGCAACAGGGCGCAAGTTTAATGTGTTGGAAAAATGCATGGGGGAATGGAGAAAACAAATAACCAAGACGTTCGTGTGTGCTGATATACGCCGTTCCTTTCATAAACCAAAGTCTGGACAATACCCTGCCGTTGAGGAGGCAGTTCGAGATTAGGCTCAGGACCACAGAAGCAAAAGCCTGAGTGTTTGCCACATTGATATTGAAGCAAAAGTACATACCATAGTGAACAAATGGGTCACAAACTTTATGAATGGGATAACAATGGCTGGTATGAACTGCCAACAGACAAGGTCCGCATGGCATTTTTCGCATGCGGTGTCTCAGTACCACTAGCACCCCTTCGAACGGCGAGCAGCAGCAGTGGCTCACACTATGGCATTAATCGTGAATACGTCTTTTCAAGCGACAATGAGCTGTAAAAAAATGTTTCTTTGCATCACTCCTCCTTCTGAAAAACTTATTGGTGAGCTATGACTGCAGCATGAGACTGTACATGGAGTGAACTTTTTTTTTTTTGCCTAGAAGGAGTTACAAGTAGAGGGGATCAATTTATAATCGGATCCAATGCATCAGAGTACAATACAAGAGCATGACACACTTCACACATACATTGAATGTTCTATCAACTTGATTGCAAATCTGCATTTATAGGCTAACACATTGAAACACATTAAGTGCAGCTGCATTGGAGAAACTTACCTCTGCTCTCAGCACCTCCTTCTCATCTGGCCTGCATTCTAAAATTGAAAACATGTCAATTGAGTCAGCACCTTTTTCAGAGAACTACAAGGGCAGCATTGCACAAACAACAATGAATGAATGAGATACAAAAAGAACTTACTGTTCATGAAAGGAATGACAATATCTAAAGCATCTTGGTATGTCTTCAGAGCATCCTTAAGCCTATTTGCGACAGCCTGCAAGAGCAAGAAAATCATGACGAACAATTTTCCTGAACTGAAAGCTCAAAGTAGAACATAACGATAAGTTCAAAGTATTTGCAACATAGTAATTTTAAAGAAAACACCTACTGTGTGCTTCATTTACCTATTTTTCTCCACCTTATTGATGTGTTTTGATGAAATAATGAAGCCAGCATTCCCTTGCAGGTCATCAGCCAGATCAGTGATGCTAACTTTCATGCCTTTCTTATCTCTATAAGGGCAACACCACCAAAAGAGGTCTTCCATCTTTAGGGGATGCAGAGACATTTTTAAAACAGTTGATACTGAATGGAGTAGTGTTCGCTGTACTCCAAAATAAACAAGTTCATTTCGCTTGGATGCCCACTTTTGATATGGCAGCAATTTGAGATGCAGCTCCTGCTTCACGCTGCTACCAAAAGCTAAGTTCGAGCAGTTGCTTAATTTCTGGTCTCCTGAGGCATCAAACCGGCTGAAATTCATTGCCAATTGGTGAAAGTGTATAGACAGTCATGCATAGGTGTCGAGAATATTTGCAAGCGGTGTCGAGAGATTACAGCCAGTCATACTGAAATTCATGACAAAGAAAGGAGTGTCAGGCCATCAATTTCTGTCACAGAAGTCTCGAAGCCCGAGATAATCTTGTGTGATGATGGAAAGATCACACTGGAAGCTGTCTACATATTGGTTTCTCAGGTTTCCCGAAACGGCATCAACAGGATCTTAGAGGAAAAGGACTAAATTTCAATCAAATTTGCACCATGCGACACCTGTATAACACAAAACTACAAAAACTACACAAAGCTTTAATAGAATCTAGGTTTTAACTGCCCAAAACAACAATAGACCTTATGCAAAACTGCTGCCATCTGTCGGCCATCGTGTGCATAGCCACCATGTTAGAGGCTAAGCGCAGCAGCGCAGTACGCACAGTCTGCGCTTGAGTTTACGTATACGTATGTATACATGTTAGGCATATTGACGTGAGGCGTGTATTGACTGATAGTCGCAATGCTGACGTACTGCTGCGTTTTTTGTGCTGTATACGGAGAGTAACTCGGAATACTGAAGGAAAAAAAATAGCCTGTAAACTTTGCCTCTTGTTATTTTTTTCAAGCTTACGATGTTTCTAGCATGTGCTCCGGCCAAGAGCGTAGCCAGAATTTTTTTGGGAGGGGAAGAGGGAGAGGCTAGGCACCTCCTTAATTTCAGACGGGACACTCCCTTAAATTGGTTATTTTTTGTAAATTTGCAGGGGGGAGGCCACAAACACTGTGTGCCATACTCCCCCCCCCCCCCCCCCCCGATTACACCAGTGGCTCCAGCTACGGCTCCCGAAACATGTGTTTGCGTTCGCCTTTCTAAGCAAGTAAGATTAGCAGCTTTTCACCAAGCGAAGGCAACTCGTACACTTCATGCAGAAGCCACCTTCATGCAACGAGCTTTATCGCAGCTGATTACACGTGCCTGCATTGAGTTCGTCCACCTTGTGGGAACACTGGCTACAGTGCTAGGCTACTGACCTAAAGGCAGAAGCGTAGCCAGGGGGTGGCACACACCGGGCCTATGCCCCTCCCCCTGTAATTTTTTTTTTGCCATAGCAAAGAGAGCGAAAAAGCATCGTTTCAACCTTCCCCCTGAAGAACCTTTCTGAAGAACCTTTGCGGCTACGCTTCCGCCCAAAGGTTACATGTTAGACCCCGGCCATGGTGGATGGTAGGCGAAATGGTAGAGGCCTGTGTGCTGTGCCATGTCGATGCCCGTTAAAGAACGTGAGATGTTCGAAATTTCTGGAGCCCTCCACTACGCCACCTCTCATAACCATATCGTGGTTTTGGGTCGTAGAACCCCAGATATTATTATGCCTCCATGTCACAGAATGCGCTGTTTTGTTTATTATGTTTCGGTAAGGACACACGTACAAAATTTACAACTTTCAGCTCAGAAAACTGGTGCTCTTGCCGACTTGACGATAAAGATAATCAACAAAGTATGAATGTTAAATGAAGTAATGGCTGATGAAGCAACTGACCAAAACATCAGTAGAGCAATATGCATCCAATGTCAAAGGGGAAAAAAAAGAAAAAAAAAAGAATTGTTGCAGACTCATAGCCTCAAAAACTATCCTGCCACAGTATGTGATTACAAAATAATTGATGTCTGGTCACTGTTATGTTTATCTGGTGAGGGTAGTGATTGCAAATGCAAACTTTTTGCCAGGGTGGTTACATTGTAACATTTAAGAACAATTCGTCGCCCCTCATCCATATTGCGGGGTAACGTTTGCCGCTTGAGTAAAATATCCTCATTAGTGACAGGAAAGAAAATCAAGACTCAGATTTGCAGTAAAGAAGCTGTTACAATAAGTGGCACACAAAGCACATATGGAAAAGTAATTTGCCGCACCAGTTTTTTCGCAGAGTTGACCAGGAGAAGGGCACTCTGGAGAGGTGGATACCGATCACATATGTCCTCTGCAAATGTAAGGAATTATGCATGTTAAACATAGTCTGACAGATAGTAGTGCACAGGTATCCAGAAACAAGTTTTAAAAAATCTATACACTAGTTCAGCAAAGCTCCAAGTGGTGATAGAGATGTTAGAACACACTCAAGAGAGCACTTTACAAATCGAATTGTAACAAATTTTTCTTTATTGTGCGCCTAAGGTAATAGCAAAACTGCACAAGCAGCGTAGCAAGGGCAGCTGACATGTTGCATGTAACCTTGAGAAACAAAATAACAAAACCCAAACAAACATAGACAGTATAAAATTATGCCTTAACACAAATTTAAAAGCAATACTGATATGAATCCCAATGGTGAAAAGAGCCTTCAGTGGCACACTAACGCACCAAATTCTGTGCCACCTCCATGTCTGTCATCCTCAATGACAATAGCTTCCCTTGACTTCAGTGTTGACTTGAGGGTTTCAGCACGCTGAAGGTATTCACTGACCTGCAAATTAACCAATACCAAAGGTGCTATGAGAATGGCAAACGTGCAATCATTACAAAGTAGTACTCGCTGTTGGGCTAGTTGGTGCTCGCTTTGTGCCAATAGCAAACTTGGCATCGGCTATACTTGGCAACAACTTATCTTGACACTGGAGCGAAGGCAACGAGACTGGGACTTCCACACATTCACATTGCTCCACAAGTAGCACGGCAGCTTGTCTCTGATTATAGTTTTGCTTACTAGCATCGTTCATGCATTTAGAAAATTATATACATAAAAATGTGAATAGAAGAAACACTCTGACAATTCAGTGTACCTTTCAGTGCCATATTACAAGTATATTTTGCCTAAAGAACTAAACTGCGCACTTGCAGCCGCACACTGACCCATTACGTCACAAACATCATGCTTACTTTATAAAACGGCATGCTCTAACGTTGATGCTGTCTAAGAAATGAAAAGAAAATCAACGCATTATTGCAAAGTAAGCAATAACTGCATTTTACCCATGACTTTCAGCAACTATTTTGAATATCATAATAGATAAAGCAGCATATATTTCAGCAAGGCAAGATGAAAACATTATCAGTAAACTTAAGTACTATTTTATGACATAGTAGCAGGCATTGTAGCTCCCACAGTGCTGTCAAGAAAGTTGTCGCCAAGTATAGTGGTTAATGCTTTAACTTGAAGCTACAGTAAAACTCCTGCGGTGAGTGCGACTGTGCATGGGAGAGGCAGTCAGAAGGAGAATGGCTGGACAATTTAAGAAACCTTCCTGTTCCTTTTACTTTCCTTTTACTTTTAGCCATGAATGAAGGAAAGCTGAGGAAAGACCCTCGCAATCAGAGCTGCAGAGCGAAAAGTGTGGCGGTAGTCGCGCACTTTTGCAAAGGGGTTGTAGGATTCTGTGGTCACGCCATTGTCTTGTGTCGTCTGCATCACCACTCATTGACCACATTGTTGAGAGCTGGCTGGAGTTCTGAAAGTGCATTCTTATGCAGCCATTGCACTTCAAAGACGGTGCAATGTGTTAGAAGCCTACAGTGAGCATTGGTCTTCACGGTTGAGAGATTAGTTCATATCCCTTGCGGTCGAAAGCGGTCTTTTTCGAAGCTCACGACCACTTATCCGAAAATGATTGGCGCCGCAGCATCACTGTTTTCCTTTGGCATTGTGCTGTTGCATGCCTCAGTGATGGAAGGCTGAAATTGCAAGATGAAAATGGCAGTGCCTAGAGCTCCTAACGCGAGAAGCGCCGGTCAGTCGTTCCCGTGTACGGCGGTCACAACTATCGGAAAGCAGTATGTGACCCACTGTGCTCACTGAAGCTTGCCGAGTCAAAAATGACAGTAGTGCCTGACACAGTAAGGCGATTTCTTGTTTAAAATATTGCATCCTGTTTACGTTTTGCGCCTGATAACCTCATCTTTGGCCAAGTTTTTTTTTCTATATGGTCACAGTCGGCCGACCCGCGCTGCTCCGAACGATACCTGTGCGCACGTATCGTGACACACACGAGTTTGGAGGTTTTTCAGATGGCTGAATAGCAAGACGAAATAACATATCACTGTTTCATTATGTTGCATTATGTTCCATACCTCGAACTCACCTTCTCTGCTGAAAAAAGCTTGCCCAGGTTAATATCTGGCTGGCTTGTGCCGTTGCTCTCTTGCATTCAGCGAAATTAACACGAAGCGCGAAGCACCAAGTTTATTGTAGATGCACTATGTGAGTTGCAATTAGGCTGCAAATAGCACACAGGCGCTATAAAAGTGAGTATCACAGCACGTTTGCTCTCAATCAACACAAAAGTTTCGCTTTTCCAGCTCGTCTATCAGATGGCGGCGGCAGGACCACTCGGCGCATTCAAGATCTACTCATGCGGCTTGCCTCCCTCTCACCGGCACCAGTTGTGCATGCGCCACCGCCGAAGCATGACCATCATTGCGAGGGGGAGTCCTCTACTCTTCCCTACTTTCTGCTTTACAAAATGTTATATAACAGCCTCTCCTCAGTATTCCTTACAACGTGCTTTTAGCTAATAACTGTTCTGTCAAAGTAAGCATTGTACACCAGCATCCACTCTGTTTCAGAAAATAAATAAAAGTTTAACAGAATTGCTGCAGCAAGCCTTCTTGAGGTCTCACTTTATGTGTGGATTGACCCACCGGTGGACCACTCTGCATATCTTCCAGGTGTCCCGCGACTCACCGGTGGGGCACCCGTGGGTCATAGCATCTAACGCTGGAAGAAATTTCTTCCAATTTTTTCCAATTATTCACAACCTTTTGCAACAAGAATCATACCTCTGCGTTCACTTTTGATGAAGTTATTGCATCAGTAAGCACACATATGCTTTTAAAACCGTGGCCACACAGAAGAAGCACAGGCCGTGACACATCGATGACCCATGCCGCAGTGAATGTGTTATGCACATAACGAAGTGTACCTTTGCTTGCAATGATTTCCACTTCTCCAAGTCAGTCTCGTCTGAAAAAGACACAAGAGCATAACTGTACAAGCAAGGTGATCAGGTAGCCAAGAATTTAAATGCTGCTACAAAACAGCAGCGTTATGCTGCACTAACTTGAGAATTGAACATGGAGTAAAAGCATATCAGCGAGCTTTACCAAAATGGAAAATTAAGTGTTGGCTCTTTCCATGTCAGAACTAGCACTGATGCAAGGAATGCCTCATGGCAGGTTCTTTATCAATTTTGATGTGAACCTAAATCTAGAACGCAGAAAAGTTTTGCATTTCACTCTCAAAAACGTATATAAAATAATTCTATGAAATACTCGCACAAAGATGTTCAACAAGGAAGATTAATAAAGGAACATAGCTTGATTTACTATTAAGAAAAGAAAAGAAAGAAATGTGTTATTCCAATTCAATTCATTGTCACGTTTGTTTGTTTTTTCAATAGATGCTCATGTTTATACCAAAAAAAATTACGAGGTCTGACAAGCATCTGACCAAATCAAGATAGGCAAACAAGAAGTCAAACTCTTTCACGGGAAGTTCTTCCTAAATGAAAATACTCACTCTACAAACAAAAAATATTTTCAATTATAAACTTGTACTGAATGCCTTTTCTTTCAATACCTGGTCTGCAAGTGAATAAATTATTCAACCAGTTCTAGGGTGACCAATTTACTAATACACTGCACTGCACCAATGAAACAAATCATGTTACATAAAACACACACAACCTCAATACACCGATCTAATCAGAAATCCCAAAATAGTTCTACGTATTAGTAAGTTTAAACAAGTTTCAAAACTCTGCAGCTCTTATACAGTTTTCGCATCCGGAAAATGGAAATTGACTGATTTGTTCCCCCAAGTCACAAATGCCACACTTATGCATGCTGCTCTCAGCCCTATCACCGATATGTACTCCCAACAGCAAATATTTATTGGACATTGGTTTCACAACAAAAGAGAATTTATACTCTACTTCTGTGTAATGTTTCTAATCTAGCAGGTGAATGTACAGGTTGCCACAGATAGCACAAACAGGCTTGAACATTTCTTTGGAAGCGACATTCCTAAACACACTGAGAATACGGCTTTCTCGAAGATTTCTCGTCCCACAAGCTCTTGCTTATAGGTGCAGATGCCAGAAAATTCAGAGCCAAGTCCCTTACTCTGTAAAACAGGCAGCAGGTACTGCAGGCCCTGGCAATAGAGGTGTAGTGCTTCTCGAAGACAACCCTGGCTGTCCTTGGCCACTGCCTGCTGAATCAGAGAGGCCTGAAAAGAACCAGCTACTCTCAAACCTCGATATTATGATCCCAGATATAATGAAATACTGGTTATAATGAAGTAAATTGAAAATAGTCTTGCAACACATATAGTGTTAGAAATGAACCTTCATGGCGAACTTTCGAATATAAAGGACTTATTTTTATGTAGGATGCAACTTGGTTTTATAGATGTTTCATTGTGCTACATATCAGGAAATAGTTTATTTCAGAACTTCCTATTTAAATAAATAAAATTACACAGCTGTTTTTCTTGACACTTTTTGTGACAAACCTTTACTGAGACCACCAATTTTTTAATAAAATTTCTTGAAAACCAACAAGTTTCTAAGCACGAGTAACCACTACCAAGTTTTAAACCAACCTTGCGAAAGCAGTTTTAGCTTTCTGCAATAGTGAACCTGCTGTTACATATCTAAAGTTATACTCTATGCTGGTCTAATGTAACTATACATTTGTAATCAGAATTAATCAGTACACAAAATTTGGAAACAGTGTAAATTTTTTCAAGTATGCTGTAAGTTCATACACTGAATTTGCCAAATCTAGATGCTCTAACCAATGCAGTTTAAAAGAATGTATGCTTCCTAGTACAAATTTGTAAACTTTATGCTTCTTTGTTCAACATTATTATTTTACACAGTATTTTACTGAAAAATATTTGTCTCAAGCAGAAATTCTGCTTCCTCCAATTTTTATAATTTACCTTTACCTATCAATTGTAACTACAATAATTTAAATAGGTCCATTGTTGTATTGTGAGAGCTTAGCATTTTACATCTACAGACAGTGAAAGAAAACACTTTCTTACGCACCATGACCAGATTTCACTCTGTGGAAAAATAACAGTGGCTTAGATTTGTATTAGACTACAGCTGATTGACTGTTCTGACTCCTTTTGATAGACTAGTGCCATGCACGGAAAATTTTTTTATGTCTACTCGCAGTTATGAGGCCCGCAATTTGACAGGTGCTCATCATGGTGTTCCCTGTAACAGTGGACGGTACTGTACAGTAGGCTCTCAATAATCAAATTCAGAAAAAGAAATACAAGACTAGTTGGAGGCTCTGTTGGTTATGCTAGACGATGACAACCAGCAACAATTGGTTCATAGCAGGCTTGTGAGAATGTACAATCACTTGAAATGAATATTACTGTCGTCCAGTTTGCTTTGATCCAAATTTAAATTATTAGAAACTTCGAAGTTTTCGAAATGAACGAATAAACGTATATTTAATGTTGCTTGTAAAGCTGGTTTCACTGCACTAGATGGGCGCTATACCACAAGGACAACTTACCAAAAAAATCTGCACTGCCATGAAGACATACTTCAAGGATAATCGTAGGGGCTTCCAGGTATGTATACTTTTTTACATTACCATGTTACTGGATACCGGCAAAAAGCTGCGCATGCGCGAGCCTTCATGAAACGTAAGCTTCTCACCAGATAGGCTTTATGTTTACGAACCTACCTTGCAGATCAACTTTTGTTTGTGGCTAAGCACAATAGTATTCACTCTGCGGAGACTCCTGCCGCCAAGTCAAAATAAGTTGAAGTGTGAATACGAATTGCAACCTCCTTGTTTCAGCTGGCTTACCCTGAAGCTAGAATGACCTAGAATTCTGAAGCTATAAACTAGAGAGACCCAAAGCCCCCGACAGGTGGCACCATCTAGCAGGGTCAAGGTGGAATTGGCAGGCACAAAATTGTTATTGCAGAAGCATCATGCATTCCACTTCTTGTGTAGATGTCTTACAGTGAAATAATCACGAATGTGTCACCTTTTTCAACACTTTTCTCTCATAAACACCAGGGCATAACGAACATGTCCATGAGTATGATTGCACGAAGCGTCATGAGATGTCGACACCATCGTTCGCTAACCCGGTACTTTCGCGCCATTTTTTGGCATACCAAGATACTGTATACACCTCCAAAAACCTCTCGTATTACTTTGCCACATACTGATGCAATTTGGTCTAAACCAAATATAGTTCCAATGCAGTTATCATCACCACTTAGAGGTTTGTGCACGCGTAAAGGTATACATATACGTACGCACGCAAGGTTCACGTATGGGGAGCTAAAGCTTTTTTAAGAATGCATTCCGGTAATACGGTAAACAAAATCTGGTATTGCAGTAACACGGTAACATTAAAAGGGATGCGCACAGATAGAATCGCACTTCTCTAGAGCACTCAGCAGGCTGCTCTAGCTGCCATTTTCTGCTGAAAATATCGACACCGCAATGACACCAAACATGGCTACACTGTGTGCTAGGTCCTTGTGCTACAATTGAAGTATGAACGAAAGCTTTGTAGCTAATGTGGGTTAAAAGCCGCGGCCAACAACAGCACCGACAACCATGTGCTTGGCTGCTATAGACAAGTGCGATTCTGTACAAGCTAAATGTCCGTTTTAATAATCTCGAGTGCTTTATGTCCCAAAACCACAATATGGTTATGAGAGACACGATAATGGAGAGCTCCGGAAATTTTGACCATTGGGTGTTCTTGAACATGCACTGACATGACACTGTACACAGGCCTCTACCTTTTCGCCTTCTAAAGTATGACTGCCGTGGCGGGGATTGTACCTGCCACCTTTTGGTAAGCAATCGAGCAGTGGGGCCAATGATCCACCATGGCCGGCTATACTTAAAGGCTAAATAAACCAATCAACCTCACATCGATTAATCATTTTTTAAAAGGACACTAAATAAGAAAAATGATTTTCTGTGTATTAGTTAAGTGAAATTTCCCAATCCCAAAAAGCACCACTCTTACAGCGACACAACGCTAGGTAAGCGAGAAAACGTGCGAAAAGAAAATATGGATGGAGACGCCACCTTCAGGTTCCCGCACCGACCACCGTGACATCAGATATTTTGAAAGCGTCTACCGAGTCCTACATAGCTTTTAATCAATAAAAATGAAGTACATTGTTACCTGTGGGTGCCATAGAGCTAACATATGAAGTTTCGGAAGATATCATCGACCCAAGGTCGTGAAAATACAAAAAATACATTTTGAAATGTTTTACGTCCCACACAGAGATTATGGAGCAAAATTAAAAAATAAAACATCAACCTTGACATTCTCCACTAATCATTGACCCGTGACAGTAAAAGATATCATGTCAGATCTCTCAGAGTGCAGTTCGTCAATCTGAACCAAGTCACTGTTTCTCTTGAGTGTTTCTTGAAGTTTGAAATCTTGTTATAATTGCTTACATGTTCTAAGCACATAAAATTTTACAATGTAACATATTTCACAGGGTATCACCTGCATTCAAGCAAAATCCAAATCTTGACATTATTGAAAGTTGCTTCCACACTTTTTTTAACAAAAAGAATGACATTTTCTCCGGCCCTGTTTGAATTTTAAGCAAATATTGTGCAGGTTAACTTGGTCATGAAAAATGCTTTAATTATTTTATTATACAATATTGTTATTCAAACTTGATCCCAAATTATTAAACAAATCACTATTCACTTTGAATTGTCTTAAACCGCAAAATTTACAATCTGCACAAGCCGTGAGAACAGCGATTAGTCGGTGGCAGCAAGCCACGGCTACCTGGACTGAGGAAGCCACATAACCTAGGGCTGAACTAGAAAGAGCCTGGTCAAAAGTAAAGTTTATTCCTCTTTATCTCCCTCATAAACATGAATATTAGCACAATTCAAAATACAGGATGAGACCGCTAAACTTGTATTGAACAGTTTTTGGAGCAGCAAAGTTTCCATTATTAGGCAGAAGAACCTTAATCTGGATCAGGTAATGACATTTAATGTCATCCTAAGAGCTTGAAAAAAACAAATTTATAGTAACTTGGGGGACAAGTATATATTTTAATTGGCTTGGGATACACAAAACACTGAAACAGCTTAACTAGCCAGAATAACCAAAGACATCTGAAAATATTCAAACAAAGGTTCTGCAAACTAGGCTGACTTGATAAACATATGAAACGAAGAAACAAAAACAGAAAACAAATAAACAAAAAGTATCACTTATAACAATTTTTTTTATCACACAAGAATTATAGCTACATACCTGTAAGCCTTTGCTAAGATCAGTGATATGATTCAGCAGATTACTACTTTGGCCTTTTGTAGGTCAGCTTAAGTTGTCCTTTAGTTCCCCAAAGCTTCTTACAGGTCAGTGGTTAGACTTTGGAGCATGTCACAGTAAACGCCTTCAGCCTATAGGCTCAGCCACACGGTTAGTCCTGTGCACTAACCGTGTGGCTGACTATGAAAGTGCAGCACAGATGCCATGAAACCTCACTGCACTGACCATCTCAATAAAAGTGCATATGATACTGCAAGTGTGGTACCGTTGTGAGTGTATTGCACGCTTTTATTAGTAGGATGACAAAAACCCTTTTTGCATCCAGTCCACTGCAGCCTTCTTGTGCAAAACCGCTAGAGCATCGCAGGAGACGTGTCGCATGCAGGAAGATAGTTGTCGCTGCACTGAGGCAACAAGAAACTCACCTCACCCTAGCATGGTATGGAACATAATGGTACAAACACTCTACGGCAAATGTGCGCCTGTGCTACCACACACAGAAGCATCAAGACAAAAACTGCAAAGAACAGAGGAACACACTACACACAGCAAAGAAACCGAAAGTCCACCCCACTACGCAGGCCACTCGATAGTTTTCGCTAAGCAACAGCAGCGCCAGACCACGCAGCCTTAGCGAGTTAAATCAGCACGCCTGGGACACAGCAGCACATTTTTGGAGGGCATCATACATATCTAAAGCAGCCGAAAAAGATTATGGTGGCACTATGGCAGCCTTCATTTGAAAGGTGTGTAGAAAAAAACATGCTTGGGCACACTGTTCATTCTGTGAACGCCTTTTTCTTGGTATCTGTAGCACTGCTTGGAAAATCATATTGTCAAATCAGCCTTTTTTCCCCAGCAAAGTTGTGTGGGCATTTTGATTCCTCCTCTTGAGCCTGCTTCGAAGCAGTTCGCCACAGCTTTGCAATATTTAGAAACGCTTTTGGCTAAGCTTGGCGCATGAAAGTGGAGTCATATCAAGAAGGCGCAATATGAGCAGCTGTCTTACCCTGAAACTAGCGTTCTGACGTTTGCTGTGTCTCAGAGCCCCGGCAACATCACAGAACATTTTGCATGGTTGCCAGTAAAATTGCAGATGTCAAGGTCATACTGGTACCCATTATACAGCGCGTGCATGAGCGTGAGCTGACAGACAAAATGCACCCTCCTGCGACAGTCGAAAACCCCTTCCAAATCTAAGGGCGCTTTCCCGCATCCAAACATTTATTTTACTCCAACTCCCACCTGATCACTCACAAGAAACGCATTCAGATTACTCACTCCTTTCTGAAGAGTTTCTGCGCTCGGAATGTGCTCCAAGTCCACAAATGGATGGGCAAAGAATTCTTCAAAGCCTATACGTTTCTCGGGATTCCGCTGAAGAAGCTTCAGCAGCAGGTCTGCACAGCAGTCGGACACTGATGCACCTTGTGGAAGCTGCAAACAAGAAAACATCAAAAACACATCAAAATCTTGCATTCACAAACACTATAGCTGCTGAATGTGGTTTCAGTTCAATACTGTAGTACTACAAGATAACTTCTCACACGAAACAATGAGCTCAAACAAATCTGCCTATCGCTGACTTTTCTTCAAGGCTAGAGCCAGTCATGAAGTTCCAGCCTTGAAGAAGACAAGTCCACTCAGTCAAAACATTAGCTTGAGCACACAACCCCTGTTTACAGATTTTCTTATTGTAATCTTCCATCTTCTACTTGCCATCATTTTTTGGATCTGCTCTAACAGTAGAACCTCGTTGATACATTTTCGAGAAAAAAAAACGCAGAAGATAAACATACGAACCGAATCTTGCAAAAATTGAGGCTGACAAGGCCGAATATAGGTGGAAGGACAAGCAACATTTATTTCTGAAAAAACAATTTTCTGCTGCTGAATTTCACCCCTGGACAAGAAAAGCTCCTTCTGCACATATTGTCGACCCTTGTCCGTTTTTATTATTGTTTTTCGTGCAAAATAAGCGTTGTAAAGATTCCTGTTCAGCAACCGCTTGGGCGAGGTTAGCAGATCGGCGCATGCTTTCATTCTGACCGCTCTCTTCCGATACATCGTCCCTTACCTCCTTCGCTGCAATGCCCCACACCACCTCCGCGACAATCTCGGTGACACTTTGTGGCGCTCTCGTGCTTCAAATAAATCTCGTCTTGTGTTGAACCTGCGGTTTTATTGTTAAAGTAAGTCTTGATTCGTGCTTCTCAAAAAATTTATTTAGTTGCTAGCGTGAGAATCCCAATTTGCGGCTACCACGGTTCTTTTTTTTGCTACCCCTTAGCTTTTCGTCGGTTTTCCGCGAAAAAATAAGTGGGATGATTATGCGAGTAAATACGGTATGCCTTAATTTTTGTCAAGGTGCCAGAGCTGAGAAAGAAAACCACTGTGACGCAGAAAACAACAGGCATTTTTTGAAAACCACTTGAAGACTTCAACGGCTAAGACTGGTCTCTGTGTGTATGAACAAAGAAACTGCCATGATCGCGCGGCGGCAGTCTGCCACTTGGTCTTTCACAAGCAGGCGAGAGCGGTTTTCTTCCACACCTGAACGAAAATTTTTCCCCATGCAATGTGTCGTACGGCTGCGGTTTGCCGAATGCCCAACATTGCTGCCAAATAATCGTGCTACCCGGGAACTTACTCAGAACATAGCTCTATGGAGGCATTTCAATTATCGGCGATTCCAAGTGTAGGAGCCGGGAAATCATATTAAGTGGTAACGTGTCAAACAGGTTCTGCTGTACAGTGTCTAGTAGTATAAATGTAGTATATACAAGCAATGTAAATGCTCCCTAAACTACCACGTGGCTGAAGTTTAGTTGTAGTGTTGCTGTTATGCACAAATCTTCAACAAATACAGCCCCAAGAAATTTTTGAAACTGTGTCATAATAGCAGATCTACACAGATTTCATTATCGAAAAAATGGCCCCTGCTAGCTGCACTCCTTCCTTCATTAAGCTCCGTTCATTGGCTCTTCTCCTCGCCAAGTGCTCCTTCTTGCCACGTGAGCAGAAAAACAGGTTCTTTTTGTGGATGTCATGACCAGACTCAAATGTTGATATCACGGCAATCACTGAGAATTACCTAAAAGACTGGAGAGGAGAAGGGATCGTTTCTTTAAATTTGGAATGCGCCCGCAGCCCATGGCACTGCCACGCTTGGCATTGTTCATCATGATTGAATTCTGTACTCAAAGCCCTCGTTTGCTTGAAATGTTTAATATTATTGAAGGTGCTTTGGGAGACCTGTAATATAGAACCACGCCATGATTGTCATTCTCTCCAGTCAAGGTGGCATGAATGCCATGGTTGCATCGCAGTTAAACTTGTGTTTCAAGAAGCGAACTCAACTTGTGTTAAGCCTTCACACTAGCAGATCGAACTTTAGCCAAGCACATGTTGGAAATCAGATTGTGAATAAACAAGCAACACAGGGTACTTGCCTGTATAGGCTTTTCAGTGCGAATTTTGGCCGCTACCTCCTCAAAAGTTGGCGACGCATAAGGGGCACTTCCAAAAAGGCATTCTGCAAAGATATATCAAGACAGCCAATGGTGTAATTGTCGAACAATATACACTCTGCAGATCAACACAGCATTTCAGTCTTTCAGTGTCTGCAGACAGTGCCAAATGTTTTCATGTCTTTGAAAGAATATCTCCCACAGACACAAAGCACTCAACAGCCTCAATCTGCTGCTGAGGTGAGAAAATATGCAAAATGAAAGTGAAGCTACTTTTAAAGGGCTGGCCAAAAATTACCTCTGCTAGACTCTCCACTGCACTTTTCATCGATGCAATCAAGACATTCTTTGAGCTATATCACGAGCCATAGGTAATATGCTGGGAAATAGAATACAAGCAGAAAATGAGGAATGTAACCAGTAGAATGGTAACTATATTCTCTTTGCTTGAACTGATCATCTTGATGAAGCAGGATTATCAGTTCTGGAGAAATAAATGGAGAGGAACAAAGAATGCAGCACCTGTCTTATCTATTTGTTTCTCCCTCATTGAGTGGTTCCTTCGTGTGCTGCTTTGGACAATAATATCTATGCTCCTCGACTTGTCCAGCTGTTGACCTTCATGGTGTTGAAGCAATTTAACACTATGTAACCCTCCCTACTAAACTTCTTAAACCACGAAGATTTTGATACTTCGTCTAATCAAAATTGTCACATTAAACACTTTGCCAGCTCATTTATTTTCCCAAATAATACATGTCTCGGAATTTCGACCATTCTTTGTATCGACTGTTGCTTTTTCATGTTCATGCCCACTTCATGACTATACATATCCATGACTATAACATTTTCAGCTTAGTTTTTCTTGATGCGATGTTATACGCTTAAAGTTTATTCTGTATTCTTTATGCATAATTTTCTGTCATCTTGCTGCTTTGCCAACATGTAACGGGGTCAAGACCTCGTCAAGCTCTTGAGCTTTTAGTCCTGTACTCCTACTATCAAAAGGAAATAAATTGATTGATTTATATTTGCTATATTGTATATTTAAGCTATACTTAGCACTGCACAGCCAGAAACAGAACAGACACTTAGACTCATTGGTAGTGATTCATTATGTGCGTAAGAGTGCAAAACAAGAGAAAAAGAAAGAAAAATGACGGAAGGGGCACTAACTCACAACTGTCTACTCGAATCACAAATCAATGGATGCACTGCAAGTTACTTATAGTGTTAAAACTAAAACACTTATATGATTTTCTCCATTGCCTTCATATTGCACTACTGTATTTAACGTAGACACCATAGTGGCCATGAATAATGTTTACAGCAGTAAAAATATCCTACAGCTGTCATACATTCCATTAACTCTATAACAAGTACTCACCAGTCCTAAACTACCGGTATTCAAGTAAATGATTGTTAATTCTTAAAACTTAGGTTTCATACTTTGACATGCTGAGGTAGGGCACTCCAAATCAACCTTGAGCGCCTGTATTTACTTTATGTGCACCTAAACCAAAGTACGTTAGCTATTTCATCTTTATTTAAATGTGGCCTCTGCGGCCACAAAGTGAACCTGTGTCCTCAGCAGTGCAACACCTTAACCATTAAGCTACCATGACTGACAGTAAATGGTTGCTGGCGGAGTGAATTCAAGCAATTAGGGCTCATTCACAGTGGCTCCTGGCAGAGGTTGCATGACCAGTTGCAAATGGCACATAAGGAGTGAATAATCATGGCCACTGATGCTCACGTCAGCTAGCATGACGTCAATGTTATGCTCGTACTGCCATCATCTCATAGAACAGGCAGACATCCTGCCATTGTGCCCTTTATTAGCTCACATACTTTGCGACTGCATTTGTATAACTATATCAAGCTCAACAGAGAGCAATTGTCCGTGACACCCTGCCAGAGCTGCAAGTCACAAGTGTACATGAGCTTTCAAGGTCTTTTCAAATAATCCTGTCAACAACTGAAATAAAATTGTTCGAATGATCGTTCGTGCATAGGAGAGAGTGTTCGTATAAAGTACCAATAAGAAAAGGCAAAAACATGTTTTATGAACAACTATTGAAAGGTGTCAAGAAATGAGCCACATGCCATATATATCTGCACCTCTAGCTTTTAAAACTTGTATGCTACTTCTACGTACCATACATGATGATGCCAACAGACCACAGGTCTACTTTGTTGTCATATTGATCACTGAGCAGCATTTCCGGAGCCATGTATAATGGAGATCCTCGAAGAGAGCTGGCCAGGTCACCTGATCGCAAATACTGTGCAAACCCAAAATCTGCGCAGAATAAACACAATATCTCATGTGCAAAAGAACAGATGTTCGTAAACGTGATTAAGATGTTATAGACATGTGCTTCAAGCATGTGCTCCAGAGTCACACATGCAAACAGCTGGCTGTGTTCAGATTAGAACATCGGGGCATGTCTGCACATCCCCTTTATTTCACCGGAAAAAATATATTTTGCTTTCCAAGTTACCAGGAGTACAAAACTACTTTTTATATTGCAAAAAATATCTTACTTTCTTAAAAAAATCTCAGAAGTGTGCACTGAGCTGTAAATGCTTCTTTCAAATTTCGCTAAAATTGGATTTCGATGAGATAACGCTAAAAACTCTTCTTGCTATAGGTTTGAAAATTTTATATCACATACTAAGAATAGTTTTCCTTTATAAACTGCCATTACTTTGAAGTTTCGATGCTGTTCTTTCAAGCCAAAAAATCTTAAAATTGACACACAGCTCGATATCGCTCAAATTTTAGTTTTGTTTTTTCCTCCATATTGTCGCTAGGTGAAAATAACAGAATACAGGACGACGGTGCCACCAGAAAAAAACGAGGTCTGTATTAACAGAACAAAAGAGCAGCCGCTTCGACTTCTTCTTCCTCGGAGGAACCGCGGGTGCTGTCCACGCTCATCACTTCATCATCCTCTGTCTTCTTGCCCGGCCTTTAGCCGTGACATTAGCCTCCCATTCAAGAAAGCATCGTCCCGATGCTTTATAATCAAAGCGGTTTGTATTCGTTGGAAACACATGAGTTCATTCGGAGAAATAAGGCTTCATGCGTACCACGTGCACAACTTCTGGAGCATACCTTCGACGCCTTGAAGAGTATGCAGTATCAGGAACAACCTCATAATTAATGTCACTGAGACGTCGCAAAACTTTATAGGGACCGAAGTACGATCTTAACAGTTTTTCTGAGAGGCCACGGCCGAATAGGTGTCCATATCCAAACTTTCTCTCCTGGCTCGTAGGAGACTGGTGGGTGACGAAGGTTGTACCGTCTTGAATCGTAGTCCTGCTGGCGACTAATACGTAGGCGTACAAGTTGTCGGGCTTCTTCGGCCAGCTGAGTGATATTGTAGTGCCATCATCACCATCATCATTTCTCAATCACCGCGCCGCGCCTCTCGCGCAGCTGGTGCTAGCTCGAGCTGCGCGAGGATTAGAACGAGCTCACGCACCTGGCGCGTCGGACGGGGACAGCTACCGCGGCTCGGCTTCGGGCGTGGAATAAAGTGGCGCGATCGGCACGGCCCCGTCGGCTGCCTACGACGCCGTCTCACGTCTCTCTTCTCTCGCCGCTACATTGGTGACCCGGAGAACACGCCCTTCGCCGAGCGGCCCGCTGCCATGTTCCCGCAACTCTGCCCGCCAGTGCCGCCGTTCCAATCGACCTACCCCAAGGTATGGTTCATGCAGCTCGATGCCGTTCTGGCGTTGAATGGCGTCACGGACCAGCCGCTGATGCACGCCATTCTTCAAGACGCCCTTCCGGTAGAGTTGCGTCATCTCTCTGGCACTTCAATTTCCAGGCAGCAGCATTACGACGACCTCTGCTCGGCGGTGCTTGCCAGATATGGCCTCACCTACCACCCGCTGCCGTTCACCCGCGACTTACAGGTTTCGTCTGCGTCGCAGCATGCGGTACCCTCCGGCCCGAAAGTCTTCACTGACCGGGACCTAACTTCCCCGACTACGTCTCCTACAACATCTCGTCCGGCCGCTTATCAACGCGAGTCCCGCGTACGAATGCCCATCCGACGAGGTTCAGAACATTCGTGCTGCACGCGACCAGTCAGCCACAAAATCCGACGAGCTTCTTCAATACATTCCTGTAGCCAACGACCGGGTCGCCACGAGGTGCATTTTTTCGAAGTCCTCGGCCGATTGTCCCTCGGGCACTCTCGCCACCCACATGTCTTCTCCGGCCTACACAGACCACGATTTCTCAGACATGTCAGACTCCACGACGGCTTCATCGCCGCATGCCCCGGAGTCTGCCAAGACTACGGATATCCTCACGCTCACTATTCGCCCCTTGGTAGCGGAGACTTCAGCGTCGACGATGTCCGAAGGCGCCTCCCCACCCACCTCGACGCTTTCTGCGTCCTGCTAGCAGCGACCATCTTCAGCCCCGCAGTCTCCCGCAGCCGAAGTTAAAGGCATAAGCCGTCAACCACAGCCAAACTTCCGAGAGGCTGCGACTATGACTGACGCAGCTGAGGACGACGTACCTGGCGCGACTATGGCACTGCAGACTACATATGCCACACATGCTGTAGAGATTGTCATCGATCATGCAGACCTGCACACCAACCCTCATGCGCGGAGAACCGATGGTCTTTCAGGTGTGCCACCGATCCTCCATCAAAGCTCACGTCTTCTGAGCTTCACAACTATTCCCCAGAGCATTTGGCGCCGGATGCAGTCCGCCACACAGGCTCGTTGGTAACAACAGCGACGACGTGCGGTCCAACTGCATATCTGCCGCCCTTGATAGTATGCCAACGAAATCGTCACGTTCGGCATGGTACAGAGAGGCCCTTTTTCAAGCCTCTTGCTAAACAGTCATGTGTTGCAGCCTTGGCCTTCAAGACGGCGCAAACACCTACGAGGTTTTCCCGACGCAAGGGCCAACCACTTGCCGTGCACATGACTAGCCGCAATGCACGGCGTTTCCGCATCCGTAGACCCGGCCACACGCCCCGGCATGCCGGTCGCAGTGCTACGCGGAGGCCGGTGTTTCATCGACAGAGACGTCCGCACCAGCACGACCGCGACGCTGCTCCTTGTCGACAGCATGCTCGGCACCCTGTGCGCTGTCCGAGACCCCGCTGTGGCTGTGAAACTTCAGTGCTCGGTCATCATGGGTGCGTTCCGATCCTTCACACTATTTCGCCCACATTGCCGGCGCAAGCTCTTCAGCGCCTGTCCACAGTTCCAGCTGTGGGCACGTTTGTCAGCCGCGTCTACTCGAAACGGCGGGTGCGCATTCGAATGGTCCCGCCGCGTAATTGTGGGATGGACGTGTCTATGAACACAGCGACCCGGCACTTCCTTCTTCGTCCCTTGCGCTTCTCCCAGAGTCGCCCACCGGAGACACACTGCCTACTGATGGCCCATAAACGTTGACAACCTGGACTTGCCAAATGAACACTTTATGGATTGCCGTTCATGTATATAGCATTTGTCGCTCTCTTTCTTTTTTCATATGCCTTCAAATCGCGCAAAGAGCTAGGGGGGGAGCCCTGTAGTGCCATCATCACCATCATCATTTCTCAATCACCGTGCCGCGCCTCTCGCGCAGCTGGTGCTAGCTCGAGCTGCGCGAGGATTAGAACGAGCTCACGCACCTGGCGCATCGGACGAGGACAGCTACCGCGGCTCGGCTTCGGGCGTGGAATAAAGTGGCGCGATCGGCACGGCCCCGTCGGCTGCCTACGACGCCGTCTCACGTCTCTCTTCTCTCGCCGCTACAATATAATCAGCATCTGTTTCAGCGTCTTCGCACTCGTGCGGCAGCATAGCGTCCAGCATAGTGGTGACTTCACGACCATGAAGAAGGCGGAATGGCGTTGTTCTTGTTGTTTCTTGATGAGCCATGTTATAGGCGGACGTGACATACGGCAAGATATCGTCGAAATTCGTAACGGCAGCTATTTTTTCAGGGTCAGGCCGCACACCTTCACTACTGACAAGATGCCCCAGGAACAGAAGCTCTTCGAAGCCGAAATAGCATTTTTCCGGCCTAAGTGTTAGTCCGGCGGAATGGATAGCTTGAAATACTGAGTGCAGTCGCCTGACGTGTTCGTCGAATGTGGCAGAAAATACGATGACGTCATCTAAATACACTAAGCATGTCTGCCACTTGAGGCCTGATAGTACGGTGTCCATTAGGCGCTGAAACGTTGCCGGTGCTGAGCACAAGCCAAATGGAAGTACCTTAAATTCAAAAAGGCCATCAGGTGTCACGAAAGCTGTTTTCTCCCGGTCTCTTTCATCGACTTCTATCTGCCAATACCCACTCCTTAGATCCATGGACGAGAAATAACGCGCGTGGCGTAGTCGATTGAGTGAATCGTCGATACGTGGAAGTGGCTAGACGTCTTTTTTTGCCACCTGATTCAGCTTGCGGTAATCCACGCAGAAACGTAAGGTGCCGTCTTTTTTCTTCACTAATACAACCGGCGAAGACCAAGGGCTTTTCGACGGCTGAATAACGTCGCCTTCAAGCATCTGTCACACCTTCTTTTCGATAGCTTCACGTTCTCGCGGAGCTACCCGGTACGGGTTTTGCCTGATGGGTCTGGTCATGTCGTTTGCTATAATTCGATGTTTCGTCAGCGGCGTTTGACGGACCCTGAAAATCGAAGAGAAACAATCTTCAAACTTGTTAATAAGCTGCATGATACTTTGCTTCTGCGCTGGCAGCAAACTTGGGCCAATATCAACAGATTGAGGTGCAGGGGTCAAGTCAGTTGAATTATCTTTTTCAAGAGTCAGGCACTCTGTCATCTCGGCGAGCTCTTCCACGTATGTGACTGCCATGCCCCTTGTTAGATGTCGGCGTTCAGAGCTGAAGTTCATAACAAGGACGTGCGTGTGTCCGCATTTTATGCTTACGACGCCTCTTGCGATAGATAAACCATGGCTGAATAGCAGTGTTGGAATTTCCTCGGCGATGTTTTCAGAATCGCTCGACGTATCACATGTCACAGCCACGAGTGCACTCGACCGCGGTAGGATGGTCACGTCTTCGAAGACGCGCAAAGGCTGACGTCGCTGGTCTGTACAGGGCACATACGATACTTGATCTGAGGCCGTCCAAAACGTAACCGATCTCTCAGGAATATTGATAATGGCACCGTATTCACGCAAGAAGTCCATGCCCAAGATCAGGTCTTTGCAGCACTCAAGTAAAATTACGAAAGTAGCGACGAAATCTGAACTGCCGATATTAATCGAGCTGTACATTTGCCCGTCGGCGTC